AGAGCAACAGATGTTAGTTGTAGTGGGGAATTAGTTTCGGTGGGATCTAATCTCGGTAGGATAAATTGAACTCGAGGTAGTCGTTTCCGAAAAAGTTAAACAATGACTTGGACGGTTTCGTCACGCTGCACCAGTCCCAAAAGTGCTCTCCTTCCGTTGATGGTTTTAAACAAACAAAAAGTATGTTTAATTGTTTAAACTACTTCTCTCACGGTTTTTTTTTAATGGATGACAGTGGAATGGTAATCCCGCCTGCGCTAACGGTATACGCTGGCGGAGCACCAGTAAGGGATGGTAGTCGAGAATGAAAAAAGCAGGTTAATTAGCCCAGTTTCCAGAGGGGACCACGGGGAAATCGACCAGGTTGGATATATTGCTAGCAATAGGACCCTCAGTCTCCATTACTAACAATCCCTCCCCACTTCTCTCACGGTTAAGAAATTGTCTAACAAGAGCAATCGCATTAGCGATGTTTTAAAAAGAACGCTTCTGCCCATCCTTTGACCATTAGATGCATTCAATTGTCGCTAACAACACTCACGGGAAAGCTGTGTGTGTGTGTGTGTGTGTGTGTGTGTGTGTGTGTGTGTGTGTGTGTGCGTGTGCGTGTGCGTGTGCGTGTGCGTGTGCGCGTGCGCGTGCGCGTGCGCGTGCGCGTGCGCGTGCGCGTGCGCGTGCGCGTGCGCGTGCGCGTGCGCGTGCGTGTGCGTGTGCGTGTGCGTGTGTGTGTGTGTGTGTGTGTGTGTGTGTGTGTGTGTGTGTGTGTGTGTGTGCACCCAAGCAATCGACTTTTGTACAAAGTCTCCCTCTGGTATACGACATAATTAACAGCAACATACTGAAATAATTATACAATATATGTATAGTTTAAGCCAATCTCCGCACCATATACCTATTACGAGAAAGTTTATGCCAAACTTCAAGCTATTAGATAAGTCTTTAAGGTCACAAATTTTATTTTCAAATTTATAATACCAGTACGGTAATATTGCTATTTTTCTATATGTATATCCAAAATTATATGTTAAATTACATGATTAATATAGTAAAACTAATATTACACAAAACAATGCAAGTTGAAATGATAGCTGCTGAGTCAGCAGTGCGTGACGTATGCACTAGTTGATAACCGAGGCGGACAGTGTTAGGCACGACTAGAAAGCCGGGTCATGTCTGGAATTTGATTTACTATCAATATATATATCGCCGTTTGATCCCGCCATAGAAAGGGCCACCCCTTCCTTTCGCGTGGCTTTCGTATGAGGCGACTTAGGGAGTTTAATGGTCGAGGGTTTTTTTTTATAATGAATGATATGGAATGGTAACGCCACCCGCGCTATCGGTATACACCGGCGGGGCACCAGTGAAGTAGAAATAGTAGAGAGTAGTAGAGTACCAGGGCAGAAGTTCAGTAGAACCGATTTTGATAAAATTTCTATAGGACCAATATGTAATTATATCCTTTCATTTAAAAAAATAATTTTCCAAATAGGTATACAACTGACGGAGATATGAGGTAATAAACATACAAAAAAAAATACAACCGAATTGAAAACTTTCTTTATTTGAAAGTCGGTTGAAAATAAAATAAATTTTTAAATATTATATCCATTTTTTAACGCTGTGACACAAAACGACGTACTCATCCTGAAGAGGACTTCCAGAATGAAGCCGAAACAATTGTCGGATACGACATTGTTCATATAGTCGTATGTCGAAATTTTTCCAAGAGACTACAGCATGAGGTTCTTTAAAAAAGAGATAAAGATGTTCCTTCAAGGCCGCTACGCGCGCGTAATACCCCTGATACTGCAGGCGTTCATAGGCTACGGTAACCGCTTACCATTAGAAGATCTATATGCTTGTTTGCCAACTCAGTGGTATAAAAAAAAACTATTATACATATAGATACATACAGACAACATTTGATTCCTATAAATATATTATTATAATCTCCATCGGCCTCACCTCTCCGAGTTCATATTTCACAACCTCGTATTCGGAAACCTAATATTGCTAAAGCCACAAAAAAGTGACGTCCTTAACATCGAAATAACAAAGTCACATTGACTTATATCCTTTTTTAACACATTAGACCCTAATCGTGTTTCGCGGAACCCTCATATTTATTACCTGCACACTTTCCTATAAATATGTATCGATATGAATCGACGCAAAGAATAAAGTATCGATTATTTATCGCCAGATCTCAGCGGTGAGGATTTTTCGAATGCAACACAAAAGCTACGGACGGAATTTTGGTACATTTATACTTTAAATATTTGACCCTTGTAGTCAATATGAAACGGGAATATAAATCTTATTGCGTTACAATACAATCGATGTTCGAATAATAAATAATATTTTTGCAATATGCCGATTTGTTGAAGCGTATGTCAAAAGTATACCATAATTAATATTAATCAAGAAACGGACGACCGTTATGAAAAATGTAAGTAAGGAAGGTACAGATTTTATGGTTATGTTTATAAGAAGGATGGAAAATTTTCGAACTTAATTTGAAGCTTAAAAAAACACATGAAATTTTCATGTCAACACGATTGACAATTTTTTTTTATTAGTTACAAACTCAAAGAAACACTATCTAAAGAATATCTAATATCTATCTTATGTTCTTCTAACATTTTACGCAATTTTTTACGTCTTGAAAAATATACATAATGTTCTCTTTTCATTTAAGAGTTTCCTCTTATCGGTGCAACTAATTCATGCTTAGAGACAGACTTTGTACAAAAATCGTTTGCTTGGGCACCTATGTCCATTTCGTGTTTCTATCTTTCGTGGGATATGGCAGTGTATTTACTGGGTACAGAGGAATAACACCTGAGTCCTCAGGAATGGCAACGCATGGGGGTATCATGGGCGAAACAATATACTCTGTTATTTCTATGGTACTGCGGTACATCTATAGGCGACAGTTACCACTCTCCGTGAGGTGAATCGTCAGCTTATTTGCCATTCGAAATTGCATACAAAAAAATATTTTCTTCCAGCCAGCTCTATTCCAGGCAATATTTTTGACCTCCTTATACGACATGACACCTAGTGTTTTCTTTACCTGTTCCATATAGTTATACATGTAGACAAAATTTATATAGGTCATTTAAAAACAATTTTACATACTTTTTAAGAAAACTGAACTATTCTTATTTACAAAATCTAATTATTCATATGCTAAAATAGGGTTCACAAGTTTTATTATTTTACATTTAACTCATTTTTTCCTTTCTAACTCATTCATTTTTTGAATAAACATACATAGTAGCGATTGCTCAATGAGGCCTTTTATCTCCGGAACCCTAAAATCAACCAAGGAGTCTTCCATCAGCCTTGTCCCCTTCATTCATGTTCGAATCCTTAGCATTAAGTATAGTCGTTTTATTGCCCAGTTCTCCGGCGATAAGACTCCGAAGATGTATGATTATTATGCAAACAGTCGAAAAAAGATAACCCAGACTGGAGGACGATAAGAAACTGCAGGGGTCCGTGTTTTGGCGCCAAAAAGCACAAAAAAAAACTACACCGAAACCGCTTTACAGCGTGAATTTTTATTAAATCATACATCAAAATTGTTATCAATTCATTTATCAGGGATCGGATGACGTCGAAATTAATTTAGAATACAAAATTTGATAAGAATGAAAGCTTTAAGTAGATTTTGACGTGTGAAGTTTAATATGAACCTTAAAGGTTTGGATATGATTGATTGACGGCCTTTTTAGTGGTGGATAAGCATGTTGCTTTTAGTATACAATATCAAGGGATCGAGTCTCGATTAAACCCGAGCTGGTTTGAGGCTCAAACCCAACTTTAACGACTTTTTTTAGACAGGGAAAAATACCTCTATGCTTTAGCTGCATTCTGGACTTAAGTACATCTGTATTGATTTGAGATCCGGACTAGATCTAGAGTGTATTAAAACACATTGACACAAAATGGCTGTCATTATTAATACTGTAACACAATCTTTAAAATAATAACGAAATAAAATAAAAAAAATATGTTACAAAGATAACATAAACAAAGGAAACAAATAAATACTTAATAATCACAAAAGGGATCCTCTCGGAAATATGCTAAAAGTAAATAGAAAACCACAGAAGAACGGTAATCGAGTCGAGTATAGGTCATTTTTTTTTAAACTTTCATAAGCACAGATTATGTTTTAATGTAAGAACTACCAGATTAACTTACAGGTATTTGAGTCGAGAATTCTCGACTAAATACCGAAACTAGTCGAGCGTTCTCGACTAAAATACACGTAAATTAATTCGGGTGTTCTTGACTACACTTACAAATACATGATACATCTACAGTTAGAAAGTTGCAGCAAAGAAACAATTCATATGCTAGTACCAAACGAAGTACTGCAAACATAACAGTATTCGAGGTATGAAAATAAGTTTCTGGAAAGTAATTAGAGGGCGCTAGTGCGAGCGCGCAGTCGAACAATTGAAGTGCGACAGAGAAATGGCGGCATTAACATAAACTGTGTATGGTGACACGGTATTAATGGTAATGAGGCAAGTGCTCTTGTGCGTTCTACTTATAGCATGGTTTCACTGCCGACAAATATCAGGGGGAAGACATTTGGAAAAAATACACTTTGTCAGCTCTTTTTACGTGATGTTCTGACCAAAGACTAAACAGCCATAAGGAACGGTCCTAAGCCGTGCCGTAATTGCCACCTGCATTCATTGAATTACGGCATGCATTGAAGAGTTTGATTATCAATAAGATATTCCTCATCAAAAGATGGCTTCAATCATTAATAAATTACCGACTGCAAAAATGATTATCAAAATTTGCTCAGATTTCTTTTATATATGAATTAAGAATCCTCATTTTGGTACGTTCTTTAATGAAAGTATCCAGAGCTCTTTGTCAAGGTGGTAAGCTAATATGCTTTTTTTATGGAAACTTTTTGCTTGTCAATGGCATTTAAGATTGGTAGTTAAGATTATAGACACAAAACTCACCTTTGTTCTGTAGAGCGGATTGGAGAAGTCCCAGCCTGGTGCAACGAACAGATACCCGCATTTGGATACCTTTCGACTTGCCTGCGGACAAGAAATATATATATATTAAGTATAGAAGTATTTCATATAGTTTATTCGTACAGTCTAAGGGGCAAGTTAAATATTTTAAAAATGTCTCTCGGTTCTGAAGGTTAACTTTTGCTTTATTTTTATAACTTTTCGTGAGAAGAGTTATGTAAATGAAGCGAAATTAAAGACTTTACAGATTCTCTATTTGATCCGATCCAATTATAGTGGAGAGCAGTGAGTGAGCAGAGAGTGGGCAGAGGTGCCTATGCACTTGTACAAAGTCTCGCTCTGGAAATAATGAATTTATTTTTGATTTAACTAAGATCGTCTAAGCGTTTTATTCTTTAAACGCTAAGAAATTAAATTATTCGAGGTAAATATCAAGATTATAAAAAGAATAACTGAATAAGATATCTCACTCGGTACCTAAATTAATGTTTCATCTTGAACAAAAATGTCTGACTCCAAATTCATAAAAATTAAGCTTTATTCCTTAAAAAAAAAAGACAAAACAGCATTCCTCATAACATATTACCCCATCATACTAAATCGAGCAATCATTTAACGTAATTCGTAAACCCCTCATGGTGTAAAGTGAAAACGGCCCGAGTTAAATGAATTTGTTTATTTTTTACAAAAAAAAAAAAAAAAATGGAAGGTGTTGTTAACGCGAAGATCTGACGCGTTAGTCGTGCTGCAAGAGTCTGGCGTTATTAATATTGTAATGTAAAACACGAGTTCAAAATTTAGTTTCTTTTTTTTTTATCTCCAACATGGTGTAAATAAATTTCTTAAAAAGATAAAACGGAAATTTTGTACGCAAGATGGGAGATAAGGGAATAATTAAATTAATTTACGAATACCTTTTCCTTTAAGTAAATTTTGAACAAAATTTGTTTAATTTACTAGCGTTTTATTTTAATTATTGTAGTTACCTAATTATATGTATATTGTTTCAATTAAAATATTTATTTATTATATTAAATACGCAATATAATAACAATTTATGGTTATAACGGAATGGTAATCCCGCCTGTGCTATCGGTGTATGCTAGCGGGGCATCAGTAAGGGATGATAGATGAGGATAGAAGCAGGCCAATTAACCCAAAGGCTGGTTTCCAGGGAGAGCCATGTGGCGGTCGACCTGATAGAGTGTATTGCTAGCAATGGAGCTGTTAGACATTCATGTTAAATATTTTATACGTTCCATTTTAATATCATATATATAGATAGTTATCAGGTTACAACTATCTTAAAATATAATAATACTATGTTTTTTTATATTTCTTATATCTTAACTACCATCGGTTATTAACTGATATGGAATTTTTTTTTTATCTGAAAGGATATGCTTTTATATTCGTCTCATATAAGTTTTATCAAAGTGGGTACTATAGTGTAAGTGTTAAAAAAAAAAGTTTTTAAATAAATAATAGTTTTTAAATAAAAATAATAATAAATAGTTTTGTCACACTTGAAATTGTATTTTTTTTCTGTGGAACACAATTTTAAATTGTACAATAGCGTAACGGATATAGATGGATAGGTAATATCTGATATCTATATATTCAGTTCTTTAGGATATTGATGACCACCCGTTGCAATATCGCTCATACCAGTCGGATATCTATACATATATTTAAGCTCACGAGCGCGTTCTTCTTTTAGATATTATATTTTTTAACCAATAGTTAATACATCTGTTATTGGGCCAATATATATATAGATATTTTATAACTACAATATATATATATATATATATATATATATATATATATATATATATATATATATATATATATATATAACAGGTGCGTTATAGAATTGCGCGTATTAGTTCGTTATAAAAAAAAAAAACAAATGTAAAACGAAACGCGTCGACAACACGTTTAGTTATTCGTTCAGTGGGAATGTGTTCACGATTCAAAAATACGCTTGAAAAAAAAATCATCATTTTGGAATCAGCGTGACCAATCATATATATATATATATATTCCACGTGTATCATCGGGTACGTTGACATTTCGAACAATAAAACAATGGCGTTCCGGTGTTATTTTACACAATATCATCTAAACTCTTTGTGTTGCGATCAACGTACGGCCATTTGATTATAACAGTGATTTTATTGGCCTTATAAATAGTAGACTTTGACATTCATTGATGACGCTGTACTATTAAAATTTTCTTGTAATTTAGATACATAAAATACCAGCTATATCCCGTAATTATACCAAATTTCATTCAAATGGATTCAGTAGTTTTTGCGTGAAAGAGTAACAAACATGAATTCATCCATCCATCGTTACAAACTTTCACATTTTTTATATTAATAGGATTATTTACCGTGAACAGACACATTTTCATCAAACATATGTAGTCAGTAACTCCTGAGGGACCACTAAACCTGAAGATCTTCTTCGGACGACCGGAGTAGCTGAAGGTCCACTTCAACACGATGGATTATGACGTTGGACGCTCTGGAGGCTCGAACCTCGACTTAGATCGACGTACTTTAGCCCAAAATATAGAAAAAGTATACATATTTTTTTCTTATGTAACTTATAATGGCAAACGAGCTAACACCCCACCTGATGGAAAGCGGTAATCCTCGCCTACAGACAAGAACTGTACTGTGAAGATAACAGAGTGCATACCACCCATGATACCTACCCCTCATGTATTGCTATTCCTTCCTAAATTTATATTCATTGTAAATAAACGAAACCACAGAATAAATAATCTTAAATATTGTATTAGAAATCACTTTGTTCAGAGAAACTAATTATTTTTAATTGCGTTTATGCACTGGGCGGAGATAAGCACGATCCCAAAGTATGCACTTGCTTGTGTAAGTAATACAGGCGAAATAATTGATGATTTTATTCTTGAATTCGTTAATAGCTAGTTGTTATCGAAACTAAAGGTTGAAAATTATAATAAGTATAATAATTTTTTTACGTTTATAACAGTTTTAATTAATTTCACTTTGGAACTTGCGCTATTTTTTGACGGAAATTATTTAAATGGTTATTTTTTTAACGTTAAACGAAATAATTATAAGATTATGGCCGACATAAAATCCTAATACAGTAGTGGCAAAACGAGTTATTTTGATTTAAAAACTAAAACAATTAACCCATTTTGATAAAATTTCCATGGGACCAATCTTGTAAATAAAGTCCAGGTTGTCTGTAAGAGAATGCTTTTAGCAATAAGGCCGCCTTTTGTATATGCACATTCCGTATATATACTTCTTGTACACATCTCCACTGTGCGCAATAAAGAGTTTATTATTATTATTTATGATTAAGTATATATTTTCAGATAAATTAAAGAATTTTCCAAAACCAATTATTTGGTAACAAATAAAAAAAAATTATCGATATGAGAACTTCCTTCTTTTTGAAGTCGGTTGAAAATAAAACTTGCTCATATGTTTTTAAAAGTCAAAATGTTTTAAATCAAATTTAAGATTAGAAGACTATAACTTCATCAATATAGTACAAATTCAGGAAATGTTCAACCAATTTTATATTACCTATTTTTTTATACTGTCTAAAATAACATTTAAAGAAAGCACAGAGATGGTCTTTTTTTTATACAACACAGAATGGCAAACAAGCTGACGGCCCACCTGATGGAAAGTGGTAACGGCCGCCTATAGACATGAGCAGTACCATGGACATAACAGAGTATATTGTTTCGCCCATGATACCCCCCATGCGTTGCCATTCCTGAGGACTCAGGTGTTATTTCTCTGTATCCTGTAAATTTACGCCATATCCCACCGAAAGACAGCCATGCAAACACAACTGCTTCACGGTTAAAACACGAATGGGACAGAGGTACTCAAGCAATCGACTTTTGTACAAAGTCTCCCTTTGGTCTAGTCTCAGCGTACATTTTCGTTTTTTTTTTTATGGGTGATAAAGGTATGGTAACCCCGCCCGCGCTATCGGTATACGCTGGCGAGGCACAAGTGAGGGATGATAGGTGAACATGAAAGCAGGCCAATTAGCCTATCGTGATGAATTCCACTAGAATTAACCACGATGGTTTTCAGGGAGAACTGCGTGGAGGTCGACTTAATAGGATGTATTGCTAGCAAAGGGTCAGTTAGACCCCATTACTAACAATCCCTTTCCCCCTTAAAACACAACACATGTTAGTACAGTAAGTCTTAAATTTATCTCAAGCCCGCGAATACATACAAACGTACATTTTTGTACGTCAAAATAACACATTTTCATGTAACCGTATAAGACTTCGTTCAAACTTACCATAGATTACCGAATATTAAATTTACCATAGATTGTTCAAGTTTTTTTTTTAAATCCTGATTCGAAACGTAGATAGAGAAAAAGCGTAATACGAAACATAGTCACAAATGAGTTTTGTATGTTGAGTATGTACTCATATGGAATGATAAATTAAGATATTTTTTGCATTACAATATCAGAGCAATCAGAACAAATGCCTATTACGAAGCTACCAGCTGTCAATGTTAGAACTATGACATTTATCACTGTACTTTTTGTTGGCTGTGCTTGCTCTCGCGCCAAAAAAGTTGCTAACTTTTTATGCCGGCATTTCGCTAACTGTAAATCATTGTGACGTCACCGTTGACAGGTCAATGGCCCTTGTCATATGGAATGTTGTGTAATGTAAGTTATTCGTTTATAATTTATCTTGTGACAGTTGTGGGCCTCATTATGATGCGATATTGTTCCATTCAATTCGAAAATTGCCATATTTTGCAGATTTGAGATGAATGCATGGTGATTACTTTAATAATAAGGAACATGTTCTCTTTTTAGCTCAGTCATTGTACATCATCCGAAACATTTAAAAAAAATCAATAATTATCTGGAAAATAAAAAAAAAAGTAGTAATTTACTAAGCAGTTTATTGGCACAAACATATTTTGGGTTATTTTTTAAAGTTATTTATTTTCTATTTATTTATTATTAGTTCACGTCTCGTGTAATTTAAATGTACATTTTTAAAT